GGTGTCGAAATGGTCCGATTTTTGGACAGTTATAGTGTCTTCAAGGACCTTGAAACCTAGCAAGTCCTACTGTATGGTCATTTGGTCATTGCTGTTTTTGCTGTTATTTATAAAGTTTTGTAATAAAAGGCGGCTGTGGCCATTTAAACTCCAGCCCTGGTGTAGTGTATTAATTGGTAGGCGGGGGATGGGGAATTGAAGGCAAAGGGGGTGGTTGGCTGTTAAAGGGGGACCTCTGAGCTACCTTAGTCAAGTCTCCCCTGACACCAAAGAGGAGACCTCCTTCATTGTTATGAGCTCACAATATCTACAAGTGGATGATGTTCCATGCTTCTATGAGCCCGGCTCTGACAACCAGGTGACCAGGAATACGAGACATTCACTAGGGGGGTCACAGATAAAAGATACAAGATGGCTGCACGTACCTGGGATGATCCCGAGAAGGAGGAGGAGCAGCTCCATGGTGTCGCTAACAGATAACTAAGATATTCTGTAGATGTCAATACCCCAAAGCAGGACATCATGTGACAGCTCAATGACCTACATATGAACATATCAAACCACATTGTGTGTTTCCTCTCCGTCATCGGCGAGCACCCGCGCCATTCCGCCTTCTGGGGGGGTGCGACGTGTAGAGTTACTGCAAGACGTGACCACCAGAAGACTTCTATTGGCTGCAGTCAATGACCAATGATCACAACGGAGGTGATGGGGAAAAAATCATGAAAATAAATTCCTCAAAATTAGGGAAAAGTTGAAGTTTATTTGTTTTTCACTTTTATACAAAGTCTCCTGACAACTGTCACAGGAGGCTGAGTGAGCGGTGCAGGAGGAGAGCCCAGCCTCCTGTGACAGCGCCGGCTGTCTCCGCCCCCACACCGCTCTCCTAGAGGGGAGATGTGGGAACAGAGGGGATGTGGGGGAGAGTGGGAACTGTATTTGCAGTCCTCTATTGTTGATGTACTCGAAAAAAAGGTATCAGTGGATCTCTACTCCCATCCATGCCCGTACCGAGATATTAATATTGATGGGAGGCAGAGTTAATTGACTACAAGCGCGGTGCATAGACAGCCGTCCGAGGGCGGGGGGGGTGGGGGGGGGGTGAAAAAATGCAGCTTCGCCTGTGTAGTCATAAATCCTTGCACCGGCCCTGAGGAGGACACAGGAAGTAATGATGACCTCTCCGAGGTTCTCCCCCATTTTAATGAACGCAGTTTTTTCCCCCACTGTCCAGGGATGAGCCTCGGGTTCGGGGTCAAACGTGACTTTTAGGGAAACTCAAATTGCTCCCAGTTGGGCTGACTGATTCAACCCATTAAAAACAAGGTTTGGGCTGGAGTTGGGCTTTGGGAGGCAGAGCTGCAGGTTCACCTGTATGCACTTCCCTATTTTGTCCAGCAGGTGGCGGGGCGCACCCCCTGGGAAGAGGTCACCCCGAGGGAATCCTATAAAAGGTGAATCAATGACGGAGAATCGGAACCTTGCAGAACACCTGAAGCCTGACTCAGGAGGTCAGAGGGCGCGGAGTGTCACCTGGAATGTGGTAATACAAAGGGGG